TGGGGGAAAATTGGGGGAAATGGGGGAAAAATTGGGGAAAAATTGGGGAATAATTGGGGGAAAATTGGGGAAAAATTGGAGAAAATTTGGGGAAAAATAAGGGAAAAATTGGGGGAAAATTGGGGGAAAATTGGGGGAAAATTGGGGAAAAATTGGAGAAAATTTGGGGAAAAATAAGGGAAAAATTGGGGAAAAATTGGGGAAAATTGGGGGAAAATTGGGGAAAAATTGGGGGAAAATTGGGGAAAAATGGGGAAAAAATTGGGGAAAAATTGGGGAAAATTGGGGGAAAATTGGAGAAAATTTGGGGAAAAATTGGGGGAAAATTGGGGGAAAATTGGGGGAAAATTGGAGAAAAATTGGGGGAAAATTGGGGAAAAATAAGGGAAAAATTGGGGAAAAATCGGGGAAAGATCGGGAAAAAATTTGGGAAAAATTGGGGAAAAATTGGGGAAAAATTGGGGAAAAATGGGAATTTTTAGACGGAAAATTTGGGGATTTTGGGTAAAGATTAGAGGGACAATTTGGGGGAAAAAAGGGGAATTTTGGGAAAAAATCGGGAAAAAATGGGGATTTAGGGGGAAATTTGGGGGTTTTGGGGAAAAAATTGGGGGAATTGGGTGAAAATTTGGGTGGAAATTTGTGGGAATTTGGGAAAAAATTGGGGAAAAAATTGGGAAAAAATGGGGATTTTTAGGGGGAAATCTGGGGGAAATTGAGGCAAAATTGGGGGGAAATTTGGGGGAAAATTGGGAAAAAATTTGGGGGAAAAATTGGGGAAAAATGTGGATTTTTAGGGGGAAAATTTGGGGGAAACTGAGGCAAAATTGGGGGGAAATTGGGGAAAAATTGGGGGGAAATTTGGGGGAAAATTGGGAAAAAATTTGGGGGAAAAATTGGGGAAAAATTGGGGAAAAATGTGGATTTTTTAGGAGGAAAATTTGGGGGAAACAGGCAAAATTGGGGGGAAATTTTGGGGAAAATTGGGGAAATTTTTGGGAAAAATTGGGGAAAAAATGGGGAAAAAAGGGAAAATTCGGATAAAAAGGGGAAAATTGGGACAAATCCAAGAAAAATTGGGAAAAAAAGGGGAAAATTCAGGAAAAGTTGGGAAAAAAAGGGGAAAATTCAGGAAAAATCGAGGAAAAATCGAGGAGAAACGGGGAAAAAAAATTCAGAAAAAAAAACCCCGGGAGAAATCCAGGAAAAATCCGGGAAAGTTCCAGAACCCCACCCAAGCTGATTTAACCCTTACCTTGCCGCCTCTGCAGCCGCCTCTCCAGCGGCGCCGGCAGCTCGGCGTGGCTGACGCGGCAGACGAAGGCGGCGCCGCTCTCCCAGTCGCCGGCGGCCAGCGGCAGCTCGCTGGTGGCCGAGAAGGTCCCGTTGAACTGGGGCGTGACCTGCAGGGGGAGGGGCGGGCGGAGGTGGCCGCCGGACTCGCGGCTCCAGGTGACGGCCAGGCCCTCGTCGCTGGGCAGGCTGGTGACCAGGCACAGCAGCTTGGGGGTCTGGGAGATGTAGAGGTCCGAGGGGGACGGCGGGAGGACGAAGGTGCGGATCAGGCTGGCGGTGGGGGCTGGAGGAGAGAGGAAACGGGGTCGGAGAGGGCAAAATTCGGGTTGGGGAGCCCAAAATTTGGGCTTGAGGTCTTGGAGAACCTCAAAATTTGGGTTTGGGTTGGGTTGGAGAGGTTGGAGAACCCAAAATTTGGGCTTGAGGTCATGGAGAACCTCAAAATTTGGGTTTGGGTTGGGTTGGAGAGGTTGGAGAACCCAAAATTTGGGTTTGGGGGGTTGGAGAGCCCAAAATTTGAGGTTGGAATGATGAGAGAACCCAAAATTTGGGTTGGGTTTGGGCTTGAGGTCTTGGAGAACCTCAAAATTTGGGTTTGGGTTGGGTTGGAGAGGTTGGAGAACCCAAAATTTGGGTTTGGGTTGGGTTGGAGAGGTTGGAGAACCTCAAAATTTGGGCTTGAGGTCATGGAGAACCTCAAAATTTGGGTTTGGGTTGGGTTGGAGAGGTTGGAGAACCCAAAATTTGGGCTTGAGGTCTTGGAGAACCTCAAAATTTGGGTTTGGGTTGGGTTGGAGAGCCCAAAATTTGAGGTTGGAATGATGAGAGAACCCAAAATTTGGGTTGGGTTTGAGGTCTTGGAGAACCTCAAAATTTGGGTTGGAGCTGAGTTTGGGATCTTGGAGAACCCAAAATTCAAGGTTGGGTTGGGTTGGAGATCTTGGAGAAACCAAAATTTGAGGTGGGGTTGGGTTCGGGGTCTTGGAGAACCCAAAAGTTGAGTTTGGGTTGAGTTTAGGGTCTTGAAGAACCCAAAATTCGAGGTTGGGTTGGGTTTGAGGTCTTGGAGAACCAAAAATTTGGGTTTGGGGTCTTGGAGAACCTCAAAAGTTGAGTTGAGGTCTTGGAGACTCCGAAATTTGAGTTTGGGTTGGATTGGAGAGGTTGGAGAACCCAAAATTTGGGCTTGAGGTCTTGGAGAACCTCAAAATTTGGGTTTGGGTTGGGTTGGAGAGGTTGGAGAACCCAAAATTTGGGTTTGGGTTGGAGAGGTTGGAGAACCTCAAAATTTGGGTTTGGGTTGGCTTGGAGAGGTTGGAGAACCCAAAATTTGGGCTTGAGGTCTTGGAGAACCTCAAAATTTGGGTTTGGGTTGGGTTGGAGAGGTTGGAGAACCCAAAATTTGGGTTTGGGTTGGAGAGGTTGGAGAACCTCAAAATTTGGGTTTGGGTTGGGTTGGAGAGCCCAAAATTTGAGGTTGGAATGATGAGAGAACCCAAAATTTGGGTTGGGTTTGGGCTTGGGGTCTTGAAGAACCTCAAAATTTGGGTTTGGGTTGGGTTGGAGAGGTTGGAGAACCCAAAATTCAAGTTTGGGTTGGGTTTGGGGTCTTGAAGAACCCAAAATTTAAGCTGGAGTTGGGTTTGAGGGGTTGGACAACCCAAACCCCAAATTTTGGTCAGTTTTAGGACCTTGAAGACCCCAAAACCCCAAATTTTGATCAAATTCAAGTTCTTCAAGACCCCAAACCCCATCATTTAGTCAAATTGAAGTTCTCGAGAACTTTGAAGACCCCAAAACCCCAATATTTGGTCAAATTGAAGTTCTCAAGAACTTTGAAGACCCCAAATCCAAATTTTGCTCAATTTTAGGACCTTGAAGACCCCAAAAGCCCCAAAATTTGGTCAAATTCAAGTTCCCAAGGACCTTGAAGACCTCAAAACCCAACTTGGTATCATCTCAAGAACTTTGAAGACCCCAAACCCCAAATTTTGGTGAAATTCAGGTTCTTGAGGACCCCAAAACCCCAAAATTTGGTCAAATTGAAGTTCTCAAGAACTTTGAAGACCCCCAAAACCCAATTTTTGGTCATTTTAGGGCTTTGAAGACCCCAAAACCCAAATTTTGGTCAATTTTAGGACCTTGAAGACCCCAAAACCCCAAAATTTGGTCAAATTGAAGTTCTCAAGAACTTTGAAGGCCCCAAAACCCCAAAATTTGGTCAAATTGAAGTTCTCAAGAACTTTGAAGACCCCCAAACCCCAAATTTTGGACATTTTAGGACCTCGAAGACCCCTCCTCACCGGAACAGCTGCGCGCCGTCACCTCCTGGAAGCTTCCGGAAGCCGTGTGCTCCACCTGGCAGGAGAAGCTCTGCTCCCTCCACTCGGCCGTGGTGACGTTGAGGCGCGAGGTCACCCGGAAGGTCCCGGGGGCCCGGTCGGGCGTGGCCTCCTCGGTGTGGGCGTGGCCCAGCAGGGGGACCCCGTCCACCAACCAGGTGAGGCTGAGGGTGGGCGGGGCGAAGCCACCGGCCAGGCAGAGGAGCTCCACCAATCCGTGGTCACCACAGGTCTGGAAGACCTCGACGGTGGGCGGGCGGGCCTTGGTGGTCACTACTGGAAGGAGGTGATGATGTCATCGGTGAGGTCATGGAGGAAAGGGGCGGGGTCTCGGAGGTGTGGGCGGGGTTTGAAGGACCTACCTGGGGTGGAGGGGGTGGGGGTGGTGGTGGTGGTGGTGGAGGTCACGGAGGGGTCGCGGCCCGGTGGGAGGAGAGGCCTGGAGGTGCCTGGGGGGGGGTGGGGGGAGGAGATCGAGGGGTGGGGTGGGACCTCCCGAGGTGGAGGGACCTCGAGGGGTGGAGGGACCTCCAGGGTGGAGAACCTCAAGGAGGTTGGAGAACCTCAAAGTTGGAGAACCTCGAGGTTGGAGAACCTCAAACCTGGAGAACCTCAAGGAGGTTGGAGAACCTCAAGGAGGTTGGAGAACCTCAAAGTCGGAGAACCTCGAGGTTGGAGAACCTCCAGGGGTGGAGGGACCTCCAGGGTGGAGAACCCCGAGGTTGGAGAACCTCAAAGTTGGAGAACCTCAAAGTTGAGGGACCTCAAGGTTGGAGAACCTCAAAGCTGGAGAACCTCAAGGTTGGAGAACCTCAAGGAGGTTGGAGAACCTTGAAGGTGGAGGAACCTCGAGGTTGGACCAAGGTTGGGCCAAGGTTGGAGAAACTCGAGGCCCAAGAACCTCAAGGAGGTTGGAGAACCTCCAGGCTGGAGAACCTCAACTTTGGAGAACCTCCAGGCTGGAGAACCTCAAGGTTGGGCCAAGGTTGGAGAACCTCAAGGCTGGAGAAACCTCAAGGAGGCTGGAAAACCTCAACTTTGGGTCAACTTTGGAGAACCTGAAGGTTGGAGAACCTCAACTTTGGGTCAACTTTGGAGGGCCTCAACTTTGGAGAACCTCAGCTCTAGAGAACCTCAAATCTGGAGAACCTCAGATCTGGAGAACCTCAAGT